GAAAAGACAGACAAGAGAAGGAAAGCCGGGTCTCGGTGGGACGCCGCTTCCCTGAGAGACAGCGCCCACAGCCGTGTCTTTATTTCATAGCAGATGCCACGAGGCAAAGTAGGGGCATGATCAGGTTGTTTACAACATTCTCGTGGGTTTCAAGCCTCACTCAACTACATGCACCCGACCACATCACTCGGGTACGTGGGGCCACGTGTTTGGACCATAGGTTCACGCTCACAACTACAGCTGTTGGCTATAATTGAGCTGGAAGGGCCCTGCCCTCCAAGCTGGGACTTGCACGTGGCCATGAGAGGACTGTGCCCTCTCCTCAGTCCAAGGCTTGAACCTGTCCAAACACTGTAGCGGCTCCCCACACTGTAGCTTCGCTGTGGCTAGTGAGCCCTTGGGAGGCAGCCGACACGCGTAGGATACACAGCGGGTTGCAGAGTTAGTACGAAAAGAATGCAAAACGTCTCGTTAATCACTTTCCATATCGATGATGATGAAATGATGCTTTTTGGATATACTGGGTTAACCAAAATGTCTATTAAAATTGCTTTCACCTGTTTCTTCTTACACATTTCCTGCAGCCACTGGGCATTCTAACTCACACGCTTGGGGGGGCCTTGTTTCTGGAGACGATGCTTGAGACTCTCCACTTAGCAGTCCCTGCCCCCCTCCCACCAGGTGTCCTGGGCGGTCACTGCTTCTCCCTCCGCTTGGAGCTTCCAGGGCCAGGCCTCTGCTCCCAGCACCCCCTGAGGCGGCAGGGAGGTAGCGGGCCACCCAGCCCTGCTGACCTGGAGGCCGGAGGTCCCTGCCGTGGACACGGGGTTTCCATCCTTCAGCCATAGCAGGGTGGGGCTGGGGCTGCCGGTGGCGCTGCAGGTCAGCCGGACCGGGGCACCGAGCAGCACGGGGCCCGGCAGGCTGGGCGGCAGCGTGATGCGCGGAGGCACTGCAGGGCGGGGGTGACACAGAACACAGGCTGAGCCCCACTGGGGACATAGCAGGGAGGGCCCCTGGCTGGGCACCCCCCTCCCAGGCCACACGCAAAAGGACAGGGACAGCCACTCAACATGGCACAGCCCTGCGCAGTTCTCAAGGCTGCTCACCTCATCCTTTTGGTTAAATAAATACATATTTTTTTTATTGATTTCAGAGAGGAAGGGAGAGGGAGAGATAGAAATATCAATGATGAGAGAGAATCATTGATCGGCTGCCTCTTGCACGACCCCCTACTGGGGATCGAGCTCACAACCTTGGGCATGTGCCCTTGACCAGAATCAAACGCGGGACCCTTCCATCCCCAAGCCGATGCTCTATCCACTGAGCTACACCAGCCAGGGCTCACCTCATCCTTTCCAAACCATCCTGAGGCCTCTGCAGATGAGAAGCCAGGGCTCCAGGAGGGCAAGTCACTGGCCCGAGGTTGGCCAGCAGCACCCGAACCTGGGCCTTCTGCTCAGCATATCATGGGGACGGTGTGGGGTAGTGAGGGCGGAGGACCCCAGGCAGGCTTTATTTTCCAGCTCAGAGGCATCAGATCAAACGCTCTCCTACAGGCAGCCCCTCGTGAATCCACTGTATCTGGGAGCCACAAGCCAGGATGCCCAGGGCTCCTGCCCCACTCCCCACTGCTCTTGGGACAAAGACCGGAGCCCTCCAGCATCCACCTGGCCATCTCCCCAGCCTGCCCCCTCTTCCCCTTGTTCTGTGAGCTCCAGGCCCCCTGCCTCCTTGCCTTTCCTCAACTCCCCAGGTCTCTGCAGCCGCAGGCCTTGGCAGGCGGTCTTTATTTCGGCATCCAGCTCTCAAAGACGTCTCCCGGACCCCCCAGGCCAGGTCAGAGCCTGGTTCCAGGCCCTCAGCTGCACCTCGCCTTTAGTTGCTCTTGTCACAGCATCAGGAAACCGTGCTCTGGGTAATGATCTACCACTGTACCCTCCACCAGCAGGAAGCATGGGCCTGTCTCCTCAGGGCTGCAGCACCAGGGTTTGCTGTCCCAGAGCGTGTCCTTCATAAATGTGGTTGCACAGAAGATGGGTAGATGGAGGAATGGGTGGCTGAGTGGATGGATGGGTGGGTGGGTGGACAGATGGATTGTTAGATGGGTGGAGGAATGGGCAGAGAATTGGACAGATGATTGGATCAATGGGTGGACAGTTGGGTATTTCCATGCATGGATAGAAGGATGGATAATGAATGGATAAAACGGTAGATGGATGAATGGATGATGGATGGGTAGATGGATGGTGGGTGGAAGAAAGGATGGATACATGGATGAATGATGAGTGGGAAAATGAATGGATGATGGATGGAAGGAAGAAAGGATGGATGAATAGATGTATGGATGATGAATGGATGAATTATGGATGCAAGGAACTATAGATGGATGAGTGGATAATGGATAGGTGGATGATGGGTAGAAAGAAGGAAGGAAGGATGGATGAGTAAATGGGTGGATGGTGAATGGATGGATACTGAGTAGATCTGTAGACAAATAGATGGAAAGTAATTTTTGCACAAGGACCCCTTGGTCCTAGGGCAGCTCACCATTGACCCGCAGGCTGTACTGCAGCTCCGTGCGACCCGCCACATTGGACGCCACACAGCGGTAGCTCCCAGCGTCCGAAGGTCGGGCTCTCTCAATGAGGAGAACTCTCCCGTCAGCTGACACCGTGACTCCCTTCTGAGCAGAGACAGGCTGGCGGCCCTTGAACCAGGAGATGTCTGGGGAGAGAAGAGAGACACTGGGGATCCTGCCAGCCCCTCAGACTGTGCTGTGTAATGGGCAGTGTTGCCTGAGATAGGACCAAGGGCAGAGAGGAAGCCCCAGGGGGTGGGCAGCCGAGAGCAAGGAGAGTCAAAGCCGGCCTGGCCCCCCCAGCTCCTGCTTTAGAGAACCCAGAGCACCCCAACACAGCAGCCTCATAAACAGGGAGCAGTTGTATCTTTAGCTCCTTGCATCCTGCCAGGGCCCATCCCAGAACCTGACAGGGCATTTGCCCCATCGGATGGAGCGATAACCGTAGGGCTCGCTACCCAGCAAAACTGGGTGGACCTGGTTCAAATGGGGGACAGGGCCCTCCTCCTGGGCCCATCCTGGCTGCCGAACACCCACACGCAGCCCCAGCTCCCAGCCCTTCCCTCAATTGTTAGTCTAGAGGAGGGGCCAGACAGCGACTTGGCAACTTGGCGGCCCGGCCCTTGCCCCCAGCCCTGGGCGGCCCTGTGACGTTACAACTCCAAAGCCCTGTGGGTTTGCTTCAGACACCGGGGCACTCGCTTCTCGGCCTTTGGGCCAAGGTCAAGGGCAGACACCAGCGCAAAGGCTCTGGGCCTGGCGGTGACAGGCATGTAATGGGCCCTGGATGAACAGCTGTGGGGAAGGAAGAGAGGAAAATGCAAGGAACAGGGAGAAGGGCCTGCGGATGCCAGCCTGATTGTCCACAACCAGCGCGGTGCCTGGGCACCGGCAACCTCACCAGGTGGGGCCTGGGCCGGTGGCAGGTGGCTTTCCCTCACCAGGAGGGGCTTACCTGGAGGGGGCACGCCAGAAGCCAGGCACTCCAAGGTCACGGAGGCATTTTCCAGCACTGCCTTGTTGGCCGGGACCGGCTCAATGTTGGGGGGCACTAGGGGAGAGAGGGTGTGCCCTCGCTTGGTGGGTAGCTCAGATCTTAGCCATCCCAACGTCTCTCCCCAGCCTTCCCGAAAGGTCCGGGCAACAAGAGCCCCCCAATGGCTCATGGCCTCTGACCAAGGAACCCCACTCCTGAACCACACACAGAATAAGTCTTCATTGTAATCGTACCAGGACCGCCCAGCACCACCCCCAGGAACAGCCCACCCCAGTGGGCAGGCGGAACCCGGAGAGCCATGGCAAGTGGCAAGGGCAAGGACCTGCCCACATATGTGAGGATGTAAAGGAACCCCCAAACCGAGTAAGACAGCAAAGGTAAATGGGGTGCGGACAAGGGTGTCCCTTAAAAACCCCTCAGAAAGCCACCTATGGGGGCACAGAGCGGGCGTTCCTTTTTCTTTTTATAAAAAATATATTTGTATTGATTTCAGAGAGGAAGGGAGAGGGAGAGACAGAAACATCAATGATGAGAGAGAATCATGGATTGGCCGCCTCCCGCATGTCCTCCACTGGGGATCAAACCCGCAACCCAGGCATGTGCCCTGACCGGGAACCGAACCCTGACCTCCTGGTTCATAGGCCGACACTCAACCACTGAGCTACGCCGGCCAAGTGAGCAGATGACTTTCTACTTCTAAAGTCAAGTGCACGACTAGATGTTAAACACCATCCCCCTCCCCGACCCCCGCAGCAGCCCCGAGGGCCCTCAAAGGGTCCCCCACCACTCGTCACCCGTGTCCTCACCCAAAACCTTGAGCACCGCATCCCTTCTGCTCTCGCCGGCCAAGTTAGTGGCGACACAGGTGTAGACGCCTTCGTCCCTCAGGTCCACCTTCTCAATCTGGGGCAGGGAAGGCAGAGGTGTGTGACGGGAAGGCGGGGGTGGGGGCACGGGGTCCAGAACCGGAAGACACTCAGAATGATGCCGGGACATGACAAGTGGCCAGGCTGCGCTGACCCCAGGAGCAGGAGAAGGGAGGCATGGGGACGAGTTTGGCTCTGGGTGCAGTTCTGAACCACACACTTAGACTCCAGGGAATCCCCTGATCTTGGGGACCCTCCCCTTCCCTCCACTTTCTCCTTCTGGCAGCTGAAGCTCTGGGGATGTGGACTAGGTTAAAGGTCCCCCCCTCTTCAGTCCACTGAGAATTCACAGCTGAATGGGGTCTTTGCTGGTCCTGCCCCCAGGCTCCCGGGGCCCCTAGAAAGTGGCTCCTCCTCCTATGCAAGCTTGCCCCGCTAGCCCGAGGGCCTCTGCGATGTACCTGCAGGTTCCCCCCCGAGGCTGCCAGGGCCACCCCATCCTTCCACCAGCGGAGGCTGGGGGTAGGCACCCCGGTCCCTGCACACCGGAGGGTCACAGGCTGTAGGAAGGGGGCCGTGATGTTCTCACCGCCGACAATGACCGCTGATGGGAGCTCTGGGCAGGGGGAGAGGCAGGGAGGACCAGGTCAGGGTCAGGAGGGTGCAGGGTGCCCAGCCGCCCCCTCATGCCTGGGGAATTAGGAGCGGCCTTGCAGAGCTGCCCTCTAGCCTCCCCCCACTCAAGCCCTAGACACCTGGCTTTGGGGAAGAGCGCCAGACTGGACCCAGCAGGGCTGGTCTTTCCTTTCTTTAAAAAGTC